AAGCTAAATTTTTTAGCTTCTTTTATTATTTGTATAAAGAGAACAGATTTCATGTATTTCATATATATAATTTTAAACCCATAGTGGTATTTCCTACCCGTCCACCTTCCTTCCTTCCTTTCTTTTTTTTCTTTTAATTTTGGTAATAATATATTTAATTTACTTAATAGTCACAGCTTAAATCCTCCAGCAAATAAAGTACTCAACAAATAGAAAGTAGAAAGATCACTATTTCATATGAATGTTAAAGAAGATGGATTTTTGGTTTAATAACTTGCTTGCGATTAACCAGCTAATAGGTGGCACAGTTAGGATTTGAATCACTGTCTCTCTGCAAAGCTAACCTGCTTTTCTCTACCTTAGAGTTTTACCTAGGCTAGCCCAGGGTTTCTAATATGCTAACTGGCCAAATTCTTTAGGATTTAATTCCCAGATAAGTCTAATGCTTCCCTTTGACTTGAAAATATATTTATAGTTTTTAAAAATACTCTATTAGTTTATTTCATTTTTCATTTCTTAGTTATAGAAGTGTTACATGGCTATTATATGAAAATTTAAAGAATTCAGAAGTTAAGACAAGGGCTGTAAACAATAATCAAATCTCCAGATGTCAATTTCACACATATGCATTTTTTGTGTACTCTATATTAGTTGCCACAAATGGAAGAAAACATATGATATTTGTCCTCTTGGATCTAGCTTCTTTCACTAAGCCCAGCAAGTTAATTTTTAACTTAATCATTTTGTATGGCCCACAAATGATGTGCCAAAAGCCACATTGTTCCCTTTTAGTTAAGACAAAGGTTAAATGTTAGGAATTATACCAACAATCTTACAGGAGCCACTAAAAATACAGTGTAGGAAAAGATAGATTGGATTGCAAAGTTTAGTGGAAGAGATCATCATCATTAAACAATTATTAAAATAGTATAGTGTTAAATGTTATGAAGAACTATGAGGGTATAAAATGGAAAGATCTGATTGTAGTAGGGCAAGTTAGAGAAGGCTCCAGAAAAAAGAATTTGAAACTGTTGTCCTTCCTACTTGGAATACAACAATATGAGACAAGAATACATTGAATACAAATTCTTTTTTTCATTTGGTACATGTAACACAAGCATACAACAATAGAGAATCTTTTTTTTTCCTTTCTTTTATTTATTTATTTATTTTTTAACTTTTATTTAATGAATATAAATTTCCAAAGTACAGCTTATGGATTACAATGGCTTCCCCCCTATAACGTCCCTCCCACCTGCAACCCTCCCCTTTCCCACTCCCTCTTCCCTTCCATTCACATCAAGATTCATTTTCGATTCTCTTTGTATACAGAAGATCAGTTTAGCATACATTAAGTAAAGATTTCAACAGTTTGCTCCCACACAGAAATATAAAGTGAAAAATACTGTTCGAGTACTAGTTATAGCATTAAATCTCAATGTGCAGCACACTAAGGACAAAGATCCTACATGAGGAGTAAGTGCACAGTGACTCCTGTTGTTGACTTAACAAATTGACACTCTTGTTTATGGCCTCAGTAATCACCCTAGGCTCTTGTCATGAGCTGCCAAGGCTATGGAAGCCCCCTGAGTTCACTGACTCTGATCATATTTAGACAAGGCCATGGTCAAAGTGGAAGTTCTCTCCTCCCTTCAGAGAAAGGTACCTCCTTCTTTGATGACCCATTCTTTCCACTGGGATCTCTCTCGCGGAGATCTTTCATTTAGGTTTTTTTTTTTTTTTCCCCCAGAGTGTCTTGGCTTTCCATGCCTGAAATACTCCCAAAGGGACAAATACCACTTGTTCTCCATGATAGGTGACAACTAACTGAGCACCAAAATGGAAACCTGTTAAAGTGAAATGAACACTATGAGAAACGGTGACTTGATCAGCCCTCACCTTGACTGTTGATGAGCAACTTAATATGTTATCCCTCTTAGTATTTTTTTTGTTTGTTCTACTTAATACTTTTGGTTGAATACTGTAATCAATACACAATTCTTCTTAAGTGCTGAAACTTAACTGAAAAATGATCACTGTTAAATATAAGAGTGGGCATAAGAGAGGGAAGAGATGTGCAATTCGGGACATGCTCAAGCTGACTTACCTCAAACGGTAGAGTTAGAAACAATAGAGAATCTTCTAATTATTTTCCCAAACTTCCTTTGCATTGTAATCTTATGTATTCTCATGTGTAATTTTTACATCTCATTCTGCACTTAAACTATATCTTATGTCATCGTATTGACTTGTGTGCATTCCCTCCATCATGTGTTTGGTGACTAGGTCACTGACTTTGATGCCTAAGTTTGCATTCCTCTCTTTGCTGTCATGGGCTCTTCTCAGCTAGGCTTTCTAGGTAACTTTCCTGCCTGCTTCTCTAGAACCATAATCTGCTACAACTTTTTTTGCTAATAACAGCTTATTGGTAACCCTACTTTCTTTCTCTCAATCAACCTTATATATTGTTCAAGAATTTTATTGTTCGAAATTGTTTCTCCATTCTGTTTTACATTATGTAAAATGACAAAATCAGTTTTGTAAATATGCTATGTATATATACATAGTCTAGCATAATGAGCACCAAAACTAACTGCCCAAGAAAACAGAAGTCTGAGGGTATTTTTTGATAAGTAATAGACTTTAGTAAAAAATAAGGATGGGAATAGGAGAGGGTGGAGGAAGAAGGGTGCGAGTGTGAGTGGGAGGAGTCATTATGTTCTTAAAGTTCTATTTATGAAATACATGATGTTTTTATTCTTTAAATAAAAGATTTCTGGGGTAAAAAGAAAAAACAAAGCCTCCCAATTAAAACTGTTGAAATCTGAAAAAAAAAATGAATAACAATTTATTCAGCAAACAGAAAGTGCTAAATATGTGTCACCCAGTATTCTAGGAGATAAATTACCCTGTAAGGCCAACACTGTGGTTGGCCTAAGCGGTAGCACTTTATTAATTGGGAATGGGGAGAGAGAATAGTTAATGACTGATAAAATTAAGATAGAGATTTATCTTTACTGAAACTTTACCTTTCATATATCACTAAAATGTAAAAATTGAATGTATTTCTTCCTAAGTCCCATGAGCAACTCCAGCCTCCTTTAACTTAAATGGGCTTTCTGAAAATTCTGGCTAGCATAAGCATTGTATGATAGATTCATTTTATTTAGAAGCATTCATTTACTGATGAATGAGTGAAATATGACAGTAGTTTAGACTTGCGTGATGCATGTGTAGTGGCATTTAAACTAAATTGAAATAATTATATTTTTAAAATAATGACAAAGTAACATGTTGCTTTTTTATTTCCTAATAAGAATTACTGGTACATTAATTAGTTGCAAAATAGGTGATTATAAAAATAAAAAAGTAAAGCTGTTTAAAGCACATGGCTTCTTAGAGAAAGGTTAATTTTTAAAACACAGCTTGTAATTTAAAATGTTTTATTTAGAATTTAAATGACGTTTGAATTGTAAGTATCATTTTGGAAGAAATTAAAGATTAACAGGTTGACTTGCTTTAAGATTATATTTAGTTACTAATGAAATGCTGTTTATACTCTTACCCTAGCGTTGTGGATGTATTTAGAAAAAAGGAGTATGATGCAGCAGTTAAAATCCAGAGCTGGTTTCGGGGATGTCAAGTTCGGGCATATATCAGGTATATTGATTTTGTCATTTAAACTGCTCAAATATATCATAAAGTATATCTTTCTTAGAAATTAATTTATTCGTGTAGTGCTTGTTTGAAATAATCTTTACATTACTCAAAATGAAGTTAATAAATTGTAGCATGTCCTTTTAAAGGAAATTTGTGATCTTTTATCAGTGAAAACTAAATTATATTGACCCATCTCTGCTTACAAGAATTCTTAGTATTATAAATAAGCTTGATCACACTCTTTTGCCCAATTTCCATAGGATACAACACATGAGTGGATTTCTATTTTTAGTAGTGAATTCATCGAGTGGTGACAAAGGGGCAGGGAAGCTGTTCCAATCCTTTCCAACTTGTTGGTGGATCAAAGCAAATGATACTTGAGTGATGTGGCTCCAGTTATTCAGAGAGTAAAATTTATTCCCATTGTAATTCTTCCCACTTTTTTGTTTGTTTGTTTTGTATATATATATATTTTTTTTTGACAGGCAGAGTAGACAGTGAGAGAGAGAGACAGAGAGAAAGGTTTTCCTTTGCCATTGGTTCACCCTCCAATGGCCACCGCGGCCAGCGCACTGCGGCCAGCGCACCACGCTGATCCAAAGCCAGGAGCCAGGTGCTTATCCTGGTCTCCCATGGGGTGCAGGGCCCAAGGACTTGGGCCATCCTCCACTGCACCCCCTGGCCACAGCAGAGAGCTGGCCTGGAAGAGGGGCAACCGGGACAGAATCCGGCGCCCCGACCGGCACTAGAACCCGGTGTGCTGGCGCTGCAAGGCGGAGGATTAGCTCCCACTTTTTCTTTTTTTTTAAGATTTATTTATTTATTTGAAAGTCAGTGTTACACATAAAGAGAAGGAGAGGCAGAGAGAAAGAGAGAGAGGTCTTCCATGCACTGGTTCACTCCCCAGTTGGCCTTTCCCAGGGCATAGCAGAGAGCTGGATTGGAAGTGGAGCAGCCAAGTCTCGAACCAGTGCCCATATGGGGTGCCGGCATTGGAGGCAGCAGCTTAACCCACTACGCCACAGCACCTGCTCCACCACCACCACTTTTTCTTAAGTACCCAAATGTTCCCAAGTTTCCCTTCAATTCTGGAAAAAAAAAAAGAGAGTAGAGTGGGAATTATACTTTAAAATACTTCCTTATACTGTCTAGAAAGACCCAAACATACAACTTTACAAGAGGCTTCTCTTTTGACCACTGTGGAAACTGGAAGCATAACCATAAAAGCAACATCTTTCTTTTTTAAAATTCATTCATTCTGTTTTTGGCTTATATAGATGTGGGGATTAAAAAAAATGAATATTGAGGGAACTGTCTCTTGATGTAAAGAATTATTTCTAGTGCCTGCTTAGGCAGCACATATATGCAAATTGGAATGATAGAAAGTAAGCCTGGCCCCTGCACAATCATGACATACAAATTTGTGGAGCATTCCATGTTTGCTTTTAAATATTTCTAATTATTTACAATACTTTGTATTGATAGGACCTTACTTCTGAACATGTCACTATGCTCTGTGTGATAATTTTAAAATTTAAAAGTATTTTAAAGACTATTAATGAGCAATTGAAATTAAAATGTAGTTTAATCACAAGCTCAAAATAATGAAGTTATCTATGTCTTTTTTCCTACTTCTCAAAATTATTAACTGTATTCCAGAATAACTTTTTCTGTTCTTTAGAAGTATACATAAACATGGCTTTGAATTTGGTCTCTTGGATTATAGGCGAATATATTCTAAGATATAAGATTTAAGAGACATTCTTGATTCAATGAAAGCATTCTAATAAGCTTATTTTTTATTCCTAGGCATTTACACAAAATAGCAATAATTATTCAAAAATGGTGGAGAGGTTTCTTAGGCAGAAAAATGTATCAACTAGTTGTGAAGGTAAATATAAAATTTAAATATATGTATGTTAGCATTTGATTTATATAGTATGCTGTAGTTATTTACTTAGGTTGTATTTATATGTAGTTTGGAATTATTAATAATAAGCATTTACATAAGGACAAAATTAAGCATAACTTTTGGTATGAAACCTCTTCAGAGAAGCCTTTCCTGATTTTTCCATGAAGAATCTACTTATTTATTTGTACCCAAACTATACCAGAAATTTTAATTTTGTTAATATATTCATAATGTGTATATATTTAGACTTTTATTTATGATTATGGGTATTTTCTAGATAATTTATGTTTTCTAGATCTGTATCTGCTAGATTTACTTTGATAGTATAGGCATCAGAGCTAGTTCATTTTTCAGTAACCAACATTTTACATGAATGGCTTCATCCATTGCATAGTCAATAAATATCCCCAAAAGGATGCTCAGTTGGTGGAGGTAAACACTAGGCCTTTTTTGTAATATCTTCAGAACTTTCTACTGAATTTTTTTAAGGTATAAATAAGATTTGAATAAATCAGTAAATGATAATTCCAAATGGATTTTTATAGAAAGGTACATATATAAATAGATATAAACTAATGTATTCCAAATACTATTGGAAAGCAACAAAAGGTTTTATGAAGCTATTGTTTATTAAACACCTGATACTTGCCAGACTTTTTGTGCAGATTATTTATTTGTATATCATTATGCCTACTAAAAGGTAATACCCACAGTAGAGGACCCAGATGGAATTCCATGTCCCTGGCTTCAGCCTGGCCCTTTCCTGGGCATTTGCAGCCCTTTAGGGAGTAAACTACCAGACGGAAGATATATCTCTCTATCCCCTCCACCCTTTTAAATAAATAAAATAAATATTTAAAAGCAACAATAAAAACAAAAACCAAACAAAAAAGTTAAGACCTATTTGGCAGGTAAGGAAACACTGGGTTAACATTATCTATGAATACATAGTGACATAATTAGTATGCATAGCAACCTTACCTTTGTTATAGAGTTTTTCACATTTGGTGTAAATTGTCTGATAATTGCCCACATCCTGCTTAATTTCCATGAAAGCAGAAACTATCTATTATTGTTGCTTTTGCCTAGCATGGTGCCTAGCACATAATAAATTTTTAGTTTACATTTATATAAATGAGTAGAAGAAAGAATGCCAATGTTATTTCTACTACACTGTGATACCCTAATCAGGCAGAATCTGAAAACTGAAACAGATCAGTCATCAGTTAAATATAGCATGGTCTTACTTTGCTTCCCCTTTCTTGACTTGATTTTGGTTAAAATAGGATTTTGCAAAGTAACTCTTTAAAATGCATCTATTTCTGTTTCTGCTTATGATTGTGGAAAGGTGAAATTGGAAAGCAGTGTTTAACTAACACTAATATTTACAGAGTATCTGATAGGTGCCAGACAACATTTTATTTGAATAATTTCTGAGTCTTCTACTCAACTTTTAACTCTTGGTAAACAATAGAAATAGCTTGGTTTTAGACATGATGATGAAAGTTGGCTGACTTTGGGAATATTTGTTAGCCTATGTGGGCCTTGCTTATGTCCCTTGCCTTTCAAATGAGGTTAAGAATATTTTATAAATTTTTGTGAAAATTAAGTGAAATACTGTATTTGAAATCTCCAGAACTGTGATAGAGCCATAATAGGTGCTCAAAAATGGTTACTATTTCATTAGCAATGCTGTTGTTATTATTCCCAGAATGTTGAAACAGTTTTCTTGGAGTGTTATGAGAGAAATTTTCAAATCCTATCTGCTCCATTTTATGTGTATGTCACCGAAGCAAACCCTATGAAGATTTCATTATATGTGTGTGTGTACACATATATTTGCATAAAACATTTATATAAAGGTTTGGAAAACTCCATCAAGTTTGAAGCCCACCTTTCTTAGAGTTATTGACTGTAGATATATGAAGGAGGCAAGTAAGTAAAATCAAAGATACGTATTTTTAAATATGTTTTAAAAAGAAAAGAATATTGAAGAGAAAAAGCAGCTTTTCAGGATTTAAACCTAGATACTACAGTCCATCTAAACTGCTATTTAACATATACTCCTCAAATCTAGAGCTTGGCATTTTAGAATACTAAAGGTCAACTTCAAGATAATTTGTCCTTTTCATTGGCTATGTCTCTCTGTTGTGTATATACTAAAATTGATGTAATTAAGATGTGGGTGGTTATAGGAACAAAACTTTTAAAACATCTCTGACAACTGCTGACGTGGAGAGAGCATTAATAAAATGAGATGAAGTCATACTTAAAAATTTTATAAAAATAATAATGTTAATAAATGTCATATTATCGAATGTTTAAGAAGAGATTTTCTTCTGATATTTCTCAAGTTAAAGTTTTGGGGATTTTGGTAACTACCTTTTATCTGGAGTATATACAAATGACCCATATTGTTTATTTATTAATAGATAAGGGTATTTCAAAATGTTGATGGAAAATTAGTTGGAAGAAATTTATTTTGGTGTGATAATTTTGAAATTCATGTATGTGAGAGGTTTTCAATGAGTTTATGTAAAATGTATATTATAAAAAGCATGTCTAGGTTTCAAATTTTTTTTATCAAAATAAATAGAGAGAGAGAGAAATTTTTATCTGTTGGTTCACTCCCCAAATGGCTGCAACAGTGAGGCTGGGCCAGGCCAAAGCCAAGAGACTGGAACCAACTCCATCTGGGTCTACCACGTGAGTGGCAAGGACCCAAGCATTTGGGCAATTTTTCATTGCTTTCCCAGGCACATTAACAGGGAGCTGGATTGGAAGTAGAGCAACTGGGACTTGAACTGGTGCTCATATGGGATACCAGCCTCACAAGAAGTTTAATCTGTTGTGCCACACTGCTGGCCTTAAACTTTTATTTCATTTTTTCTGCTAACTTTTAATGTACCCCTGCATATAGAAATTCACTGGGTACTGTATATATTCCATATGGATCTGAATTTAATTGTACTGGCTTAGTAGAGAATCTTATTTCATACTTGAACTTATTTTTTCCTACAAATATTGGAAAATAAATATCACTGCTGCTTATGTGCATCAAATTTTTATGCCTTCTTAGTACTATTTTCTAGATTGAAGTATTTTGTTTCTTGCTGCCTTTTTTCCTCCCATTGTTTCCAATTTTGACATACAGTTTTCTGTGGGGTTTTCTTGTTCATTGTATTTCTATTGACATTTCAGGCCTCTTTAAAAGGAACTTTTAAATTTTGAAATAGTTTCAGGTTTACAGAAAAACTATAACAATAAACAATTCTTCATATATTCATTACTCAGACTTCTTCACCCATGTGAAGAAATATGCTTCATTATTTTTTTCTTATATATATATTTTTTAATTTTTCTCTCTCTATTTAGATAATTATTATGAATCATTTGATGCAAAGATACAAATGTGACAGACAGGTATTCCATACAGTGGTTCATTTCCCAAATGTCTGCAATGGCCAGAGCTGCATGGATTTGAAGCCAGAGGCTATGAACTTCTTCCAGGTCTCCAATGCAGTTGCAGGGGCCCAAGCACTTGGGCTGTCTTCTCTTGCTTTCCCAGGCCAAAGAAAGGAACTGGATTGGAGGAGGAGGAGCTAGGACTTGAACTGGCAACCATATGATAGGCTGTCAATACCACAGGTTATCCACTCTACCACAGCACCAGCCCCTAGAGTTTGTTTGTTTTTTTAAAAAATTTATTTATTTGAAAGTCAGAGTTACAGAGAGAAAGGAAGATACAGAGAAAGAGTGCTTCTGTGCACTGACTCACTCCCCAAATGGCCACAATTACTGGAGCTTGGCTGGGCTGAGGCTAGGATCTTCTTTTGAGTCTTTCACATGGTGTCATAATCATTTCATCTGCAAATAGGGATAGTTTGACTTCCTCCTTCCCAATTTGTATCTATTTGATTTCTGTTTTTTGCCTAATGCCTCTGGCTAAAAATTTCAAGACTATATTGAATAGCAATGGCAATAATGGGCAACTTTTTCTGGTTCTGGATTTCAGTGGGAATGCTTCCTACTTTTCCCCATTCAATAGGATGCCTGCTGTGGGTTTGTCATAAATTTCTCTGATTGTGTAGAGGAATGTTCCTTCTATACCCAATTTGCTTAGAATTTTCACCATGAAACGATGTGGTATTTTATCAAATGCTTTCTCTGCAATAATTGAGATATTCACATGGTTTTTGTTATTCAATTTGTTAATGTGTGGTATCACGTTGATTGACTGCAAATGTTGAACCATCTCCACATAACAGGGATAAATCCCACTTGGTTCTGGTGAATGATCTCTCTGATATGTTGTTGAATTTTGATTGGCTAGTATTTTGTTGAGGATTTTTGCATTTATGTTCCTCAGGGAAATTGGTCTGTTTTTCCTTTTTCTGTTATACCTTTTTCAGGTTTAGGAATTAAGGTGATGCTGGCTTCATAGAAAGAATTTTGGGGGATTCTCTCCCTTTCAATTGTATAGAACAGCTTGAAAAGAATTGGAGTTAGTTCTTCTTTAATTGTCTGATAG